AAAAAAAAAAAAAACCCAACAAAAAACCAAAACATTTTCAAAACAGATGTGTGGTCCATTTGACCAACTTCAGTTTAAATTTTTGTTCTTGCATAAGCATAGGAATCCTGGGTTTGTCAGTATCTGTGTTACATCACAGTGTCCTAGAAGAAACTGAATTAACCAGTTCAACATTGTACTGATTCTTTTTTGCTAACAGTGATAAGGATTTCAGATAATTGTTATGAGACTTTTTCATTCACTTATCTTAATGATTGTAGGACAGAGGTGGCATGGGTATTGGTATGGGCAGCCTGTGTGTGATGCATATGGCAGATTGGGGAGAGGACAAGCAGTGCAGTAGAAGATAGGCTGGGAAGCATAAAGCAGAGCAGAAGATCAGGCAGAAGAGCACAGGACAGGAAGCATGAAGCAGAGCAGCAGATTGGGCAGTGGAAAAGGATTGGAGTGGCTCCCAGGGAGGGGCTAATTTGTGTAATGCCTGCCAGAAAGGATGGCCACCACCATTAGAAGATATTATTGTGTGTGCCTAGAGATCCCAGTCAAGATTGTGCTTCCATTGCTATGATTGCTATAAATTCAATAAGAGATACCTGTCTGCTAATAGGGTTATAGCTGTTGTGGGCTGCAGGATAGCTGATGGGCAGTTCTGTCAAGGCCTTTCTTAAAGTATACCCAGTTCTAAAACTGCTCTCAGTTGCCCTGAAAAAAATGTCAAATTCATAGCAGAAATCCACTTCTGTCTCTCTATGCCATGCTATCTTTTCAGAACTACACTTCCTGAGAGGTGTAGAATCTGGCCCCGAGGATGTCCAAATGATTTGTGAGTTGCATCTCATTAAGTGTATAGCAGACATGCAAGTCATGATAAGAATTCATTTGTTTTTAGATGTGCAGGTGCCAACCTAGAATTTGACATGCTAATCCTTTAATTTTTAGATTAAAACTTTTTATCTTGGTCTTGCATTACAATAGTGAACTACAAAACATGTGCCATGTTGTAACTGTACTCTAAAATAATGTATAATTTTTCCCATTAAAATTTTGAATAATTCTAGTTTTTGATGAAGAACTTTTCACTTCCTGAAGGTGAAGAGTTCACTTTAGAGAATAGATGACCTACTTTTAAATCATTTGTGTGCTATTATCTACAGGGTGCTAACCTGACTTTTTGGAGCCTTGATCACAGCCTTCCGGAAAGTATGAAACAAAACCCAGTGCTTACCCTTCGTGTCACTAATATTGATGAAACATCTGTGAATTTTTTGAAGTAAGCACAGCTTTCCACATTACTTTTCCTTCCTTGAAATTATGATCCTAAATTAAGAAATTGTATACAAGTTTTACATAATGCATACTGCTTACATTGCTAAAAGTGTATGTTTAGGCTGTTGTTAGGAAAAACAAATACAGTGAATAGTGCTGAAGTGCTGTCGTATGGAACTATCAAAATAAATGTTTTGACAGTTTATTGGGATACAAAGGATCATTGTTAAAATAAAAGAATTAATTATGTTCCTGAACACTTTCTTCAGTTCATTTTGTTCCTAACAAAACATGAATTTATAGAGACTGTGCCTGAGTATAAATCTTAACCACCTTTCTGACGTGAGCAGATTTTAGTTAGTTCATTTGAAAGAATAGTCATCCTGTTTTCTGTCTAGAAGAAAAGATACCCCAGAATTGGAAGCAGAAGAGAAGGAAAAAGATATAATAGATGCAATTCCCAGAGGTGGAATTTGAGGTGGGGTGGAGGGGTGCAGTGATGCAGTTTTACCTCCCCCTTTGATTCGTGCCCCACCCAAACTTTAAAACCAACTGCCTGGAAGGGTCAGTGGCATTTCTATTCAGGCAGTGCTCCAATGGTGAATTCATGTATGGCTTATTATCTTCTCCCTGAATCCTACTGATCTCTCAGCAGGTGTTAATGACTGCCTCTCCTTTTTAATGGTCTTGGTGTTCCACTACTCAAACTATCCTTTTTTCTGTAATTTTGCTGTCTGTTAGCCATTTCCATCAATGTCTCCTCTATTTTACAGCCTTGTTTTTAGTTTGAGTTAGTAACTTTAACTCAGGTGTAGAAATGACTGACAGTGTAGTGGAGGTGCTTTCAGGAAGAGTAGATTTTGTTTTATAAATAAGAGATGTACATTTAACTATAATGGCTATAAGACTAATGCGACAATTTTTTTTTACTATTTTGACTTTTTTTGCCTAACTTGTTTTAGTTTTTTTTAACTTTATATATAATCTAGGAAATTGGAGCTCATTCCAATAGTTATATTTTTCTCCTTTGATCTTAAACTGAATAATATAGTTCAAGTCCTCCTAGTATATTGGTAAAAGCCACTAGTTTCTCTTTAACTGGAGAAAAATGTGTGTTGTAGTATATGTGATGTTCCACACCATCTGTGCTCCCTCTTTTCAAAGGCCTAGGTATACTCATGGTATTTCCTTTAGATGAATTACTATTTCCACCTCTGTTAGAATACTTGAGAATATAATCATGTAATCCCTTGCTAAACCTTGTTATCCTTAGTCCTTTTCTCACTGGTAAAGATGAATAAAGGTTTTGACTATTGTGGCTGAATTTTCCTCTTCAGTAACCTTACCAGCACAGTTGAATGTAGGAAAGGACTGCTAAGGATATCATGTCTTTTACCACTAAATCACTGATTTAGCAGTGAGTCCAATGAGCAGCAAGTGACATTTCTGACTAGGAGGGTAATTTAAATCAACTTGTAACTTTTTAATAATGAGAGATATAGGCAGACAAAATATATTTCACTAGGAATATAAGACCTGGTTGCATCACTGAGGCTAAAAACATCAATCAGTTCTGATTGATCCAAAATCTCAGACAGAAGAGTGGCACAGCCCCTTTACACACCGAGGGTAAAAACAGATGATGTCCCAGGCTTTGACTCACATCAAAAAAGGTGCAGCACAGTCATCTACCCCTGCAGCTTGAATGGTAATTAGCTCAAATTAGCTGCAGTTGTCTCCAGACAGTTGGGTACTTCTGAGGTACTTCAAGTGGCACACTGGGCTTGTATGTCTGTAGGATTCCAGGATTAAAAGGTTTTGTCTCGGGAAACTCAAATGATCCCTGGTTGTCCAGGAAGGAGGGAGGCAGGGAGGGAAGGTGTTAGCAGACATTTATCTTGCATGTTTCATAAGTACTTCATAAGCACTTTTGCATCAAGAGGATCCCAGGGCAAAAGGCTTTCTCCCAGGAGAAATATGACATCTAGTTTTAGTCTGGGAGGGACTGTATGTACAGATCTTCTTCCTCTCCTACAACTTGGGTTTCTTTGAAGCAGCACTCTCCTGTTCCCAGGATAAGGGCCTAGGGATGTGAGGCCCTTCTCTTTTATAAATATTTCTGCTCTCCCTTGTGCCCTGTGTAGATAACCTTTGAAATATATTGCAGCTTGGAGGGAGATCACTTTTCTGCAGCAGAGAATCCCTCTGGAAGGGGAATTCCTACAGTTACTTTTTGAAACAGACCTTGATAAATGAGCTTGTTCTATACACCATAAGAACAGAACTTTTAAAAACTCACTATTTTGTCATGGTTCAGTGAACCATAGAAGCAACTTTATTTTCTAAATTAGACTCTCAGCTAACTGTCTGCACCAGTAAACTTAATGCTGTCTTTTGGGGTTCTGTATTTCACTGGCAGTACAGTTCTGCCACAAATAATATTTCAATTGCAAGATCATAATTCTATGAGTGTGTTGCCTGAAAGTACACCCTAAATTCAGTTAATAAAATTGGAATTGTAGTTTGCTGAGTCAAATTATGGTGTAAAGTCCACATTAACCTATGGAAAGTGTTCCAAACTTTGATTTTTTTTTTGTCCTAGAGCAGCAATAAGATGCGGCAATTAAAACCATTCCTTCACTATTTAAAGACTACTTTTATTAAAATAGCTATTGATTGTTGTTACAAATTTTGCCTGTGGAAGTGCATGCATATAGAAGGCCCTTTTTAAATTTACATTGCCCCGTAGTGTAAGGCCCCTTTACACTATAAAGGTGCCATAGTGAAATTTGGGTCTATAGAACTGTAAATTCCAGATGTATATTGCAATGTACTGAAGTATATATTGGTACGGTATTTAGAGCGACATTTCCCTCTGTGCCAAAGTTTTCACAAGGTGGAAGACAAAAGAGCTTAATTTTTGCTAATTCATGTAATTCATTGCATTTGAGGAATATGTTTGTTCTGCTGTACAGCTTCTCTCCTCATTCGTCACTAATTGGTATTGCCTTCTATTTGGAAGTTGTAGTGGCTCCAGTGTCACTACTGGATCCTTCAGCAGCAAGCCCTCCCTTCAGCTCAGGATGCTAGATTTTGTGTTTCTCACAGCAGAAGATTGGTGGTTCAGATTCTCTCAACCATTTTGTCATATAACTTTTTCCCCCCATTTTAGTGAAGACTTCATTTCCAATTGTAGCTCCTGTCCATCTCCTGAGATGAGAAATTACCTTCCTCCAACGTGCTGGTTTCTGTGGCATAGTACCTCGGCAAGCGTTGAGCTGAATCCAAGAGTGGTGTAGGCAGCTTTTCAGGAACCTCAGAGCAAGCTGTGATCTCTTGCCACCAACTGAGCTGGGGTACGGGCTGGAGAGGACAGTCTTCTCCCACAGATCAGTAACCATGGGGCATCCAACAGTACATGCTTGAGAGGATGGCTTTGCTCTTTAGCTACAAGCTCCTGATCATGTTCTTCTAGACCATGGACTTTGAGAGACAAGCATGCTAGGCCCCTGACACTTGCCTTATATCAAGACTCTAGTAGGACAGGCTAAAACAGGAACTCTATGGAGAGGATTTCCATGGAGAGGAGAATCTTTCACAGCCTGTACAGTGGCAAATCTTAAATTCTTAACACTCCAGGTTGCCAGGAGGAAAAAGTAAGTGTTCCTATTATAAGGCAAAAATAAGCAAGCAATATAAAAAAACCCTTGTGTTTAAATCCTTTCGCCTCTGCTAATAGATAATTCCAGTTAATGGCCATTCATTCCAGGGACAAGCTGCACATGTAATGGCTATGTTGCTGTTGAGTTTTGACTCTGAATAATCTGAACGGACTTGAATATGGTATCTGTTTTTATACACAAATTTACAAGTAATTTTCTATTTGGGGGAGCACCTGAGAAGTTAGTAGCTGAAGTAGCAGAGAAACCCCAACCCTCACTGTCAAAAACAGTATAGCGATACATCAGTGTCTAGCAAAACATGGGTTGGACTTCATAGATTTCATAGACATTAGGACCCTCGGACCTCAGAAGACCATAGAGTCCAGCCCTCTGCCCCAGGGGCAGGAAGTCAGCTAGGTTCAAAGGATCCCAGCAAGATAAGCGTCCAAACTTTTCTTAAAAGAGTCCAGAGTAGGTGCTTGCAGCACCTCTGGAGGAGGGAGTCTATGCCAGGCCTTGAGGGCTTGGACAGTAAAGAAGTTTTTCCTTATGTCCAGCCTAAAATGGTCTTGGAGGAGTTTGTGACCGTTGGTCCTTGTCATCCCTTGGGGAGCCCTGATGAACAGGCATTCCCCCAGATCCTGATGCACACCCCTTATGTCCTTATAGGCTGCTACCAGGCCTGAGCTCTTCTAGGCTGAAGAGTCCCATGGCTCTCAGCTTCTCTTCATAAGGCCTGTTCTCTTGCCCTCTGATCATGCCACAGCTCCCCTCTGGACTCTCTCAAGCTTCTCTGCATCCATCTTGAATTGTGGAGCCCAGAATTGGATGCAGTACTCCAGCTGCGGCCTCACCAAGGCCGACTACAGCAGGAGACTTTCTTAAACAGGATGAAAAAATCTGAGGCTAGAGCTCTCAGTGAAACCCAGATTCATTTTCTTTCCAAACCAACAAGATCCTCATCATGACAAAGACAAAATGAGTATTTGTATCCTTTTCACTAAGCCTCTGAACCTATAGTTCTGGGAAGTGACTGATAATGGTCAAAGTAAGGTTCAGGATGCATTTATTCCCATTTTTGAACAACATATCAGTCAAACAACAGATTCTAGGAAAAAGAGTTTCTTTCATACTGGCTAGTTGCTAAAAAAGTCATATTTACCTGCTTTTCAGAATATACAGACTTAACATAATTACCCAGGGGCTAAAGCAAGCTTGACATTGACCATAATAAGACTACTGCTGTAAAGGTTCTGAAAGATCCAAAGCTTCATTTCAGCAGTTATTTGCAGGCAGGCAGTAGTCATCAGTAGCTAGTTATCTCTACTTGGTAGGTTTGTTGGTATCTTGCATCAGGCTCATCCTTTAGTGGTATTGCTAACTTCTGACTCGATTTTTGTTCTAGATGCTTGCTGCTCACCATAGAAGGAAGCTTCATAGGTTGGGAAGAATACTAGAAGACAAACTTATTTAAAAGCTCAGAGTAAATAGATTTTTTACTCTTTTTGGCAATCCTGCTGGTAACGTTTCTGAACAAAAACTTACAGATACCATTTCACAGGTTCAAAGCAGTGGTCCATCAAAACCAGTGTCATGGCTAAGACAGTAACCAATACCAGTTATTTCAGAAGAAAATGCAGAAAGTCATGTAGTGGTCAGTTTTAGTGCTTACTGTAGAAATTCCTTCCATTCAGGGTTGGCTTATGGTTGAAAGGTAAGGGCTTATATCCCTTTCAAACAGACTGTAACCAGAGGTCAGGACTGCTCTGTGGCAGTTGAAATTTCATCCTGTACAAAGAAGAATCTGCTGCTTTGAAGCAAGGGGAGGCCTAAAGTCCTCTGCTGGTCTAGAAAGTGCATAGATTAGTGGTAGTCCAAAAGACCTTTGTTGCAACTGGAAAAAATACTAGAACTCATGAAATAGGGATGGCTCCTTCATCTGGACCTAGAGGACCTACAGTTAACAGCCTAAGCATTGGAAGAGAAGTGTGGTTTAGCAGGTTTTTTCTATGCACCATCACTGCTCTTTTTTTTGGACAGAACTCAGGAAGAAAGTGTTATTTTATCTGGGACCCAAAAAACTCCTATGTTTTTATAAAGACAGTGGTGGAGGCCAAGCTCTGTGTGCTACTGCGATAAAAGCAATAACCAGCAAATTTTCATGAGCTCAACTATATTAGAGTTTCTCCAGGTTGGCTGATTAGAGTCCTGAACCAAACACCAGAGAAAATTGTGTTCTTTAGGCAGGCACATTAGATAAGTATTGTCAAGTGTCAAATTTAATCAGAATGACAGATTAGACAAGCCTGTGGGTGGCCTTTTAGTTGTCATTACCTCCCAAAGACAGGGTTTGGAATTATTTCCTTTGTATGCATAAGAACTACACTGGTGCTGTCATGTGAAAAATGTTATAGCTCCAGAAACCTTTCTTTTCAAAGTAAGTTCTTGCCACAATTACTGGAAAATAGTTATCCCATCATTTTGTTACAGTTCTTAACATCCCTTTAGAAGGTTGTGACATCCATTGCCATTCCTAAAACCATAAGGTGATCTTAAATATATGACAGATATCATGCACTTCTGTCCCCTCTTGTGGTCTCTCCAACCTCACCCTCTCAGTAAGTCAAGACAGAGGAGGACATTTTGTAATTCTTGCACTCTTAGATTGGTGCTTGGGCTACTGTATCCTTTAATACTCTGCAGGTCTGGTTTAGTTCATGCTTCTGCAGTTTTTCTCTTCAGAAGTATGTGACCTATTTCCCACTGGAGACTTTTATAAAGCTTGTTTACTTTGCAGAAAGAACAAAATATTGAAAAAAGCAACTATGCTTAACTTGCCTGATGTCTGACCATTCACTGCTGAAAAACTGTTCAGCTCCCCTTGGTTCCTTTGTATCATTTTGATTCCTCTGAACAACCAATCTCCCTTTCTTGGGAGCGCATGCCTTTAAACCCTGCCAGAGTTTTTATACTTCTGAGTTTGGCAGGTCTTGCTTGGAACCATTATTAGATTGTCTGGAAACAGAGGTAGACCCACCAGAACTAGCAGTTCTGGGATTGTCCCTTAAGATCTCCTGAATACCAGCTGATGAATTGCTTTTTTGAGCAGTCTCCTACTCCCAGACCAACTCCCAGTAACATAAACCAGTATGTCCCAGGGAGATGGCCACTGGGGGATGGGGAACTTCCCCCCTCCTCCCCCCCCCCCCGTAGTAGGACAAGGGATGAGGGTGAGCCACCCTCACAGAGAAAGCTCTGGAACCAGGGCAAACTTACCAATTTCAGGCCGGGAGGTGCGGGATGAGCTGTGCCAGGAAGAGCCACCTGCGCAGTTTATAAGCTGCGCTTACTTCTGGGTGGGGCTGGCTTGGGTGACTGATGTCACCGGGGAACACTGCCCAGCCAGAATAAAAGCCGACACCAGCAGAGGTGAGGCAGGAACGGGGGAAATGGCCTGCAAGGGAGGCGCTCTCCACGCTGAGCGCAGGCAGCACCGGCATACAGCTGAAGAGCCAGCAGAAAGAGAAGAAAAGAGGTCCTCGGCAGGAGGGAGGACCCAGAGCGATGTTGAGGGACGGCTCAAGCACAAGGCACGAGGGCTGAGGGAAGAGAGGAGGCTAGCTTATTCCCTCAGGTTCTTTTTTTTTGGTGTTCCTTTTTTTTGGCATTCCCTTTGGATTTTCCTTTCTTTTTTTTTTTTTTCTTCTTCTGTGGCCAGGGTACAGGCATTGCTCTGAGAGGCAAGAGCCGCCTTAGACTCATGGCAGGTGACCAGCTGGCCACAGGAAAACACCAAGACGCCAGAGCGAATCACCTGTTCTGGGAGCACAGGGAACGTGCAGAGCTAGGACTGGCACAACCAGAGGGTATACCTCATGGAAACTATTTACCTCGTCCTGGAGGCTGGCGTATGGAAGGGGTGTATGGGAGGCGTAGCCCCATGGATACCTGCCAGGAGGCGTGACCCTCTTGGGAGAGTCCTCAGAAGGGGAACCCACCACTGAAGATTCGATCAAAGTCATGGCAGGAGAGTTTCTAGGGCTTCCCTGGGGTGATCGAGGCCCCCTCCAGAGGTCGTATGTCCCCACACAATGCCCAACACCGGGCGCATGTGCTAAGGTGGCTCACAAACGCATCCTTGAGTCCAGGCAGGCACACAGTACATTATTAAAACCCCCCACCTCTCAGTAACCAGGCCAGTGTACATAAATGTATACAAAGCAGCTCCAAGTCAGTCACAAAATATATGCATCATTTGTATACTCTTTTCCCCCCATCTCATTCAGTACAAAATGCTTGGGGTTTAGTGCTTTTTAACCCTTCAGGCAAGATAGTTTGGTGTCAGTCAGTGTGGTAGGCATCTGGAAAACCAGAGAAGTATAAAGGCTCCATGTGCAAGGTATGAGTGGCCCTGTGAAGAGGTTTGTATGAGGAATGTTTGTAAGATACGTTTGTGTTCCTCTACTGTCTGCAGAGTTGGAAAGTATTGCTGGTTTGTTACCAAGTAATTTCTTTACATGACAAAGTTCTTGCTTTAATGATTGAGTAGTTCTACTTCTGTCCACTGCTCTGCTTTGATAATACAACTACTTTATTTCTACATCCCTATTTCAGGTTTGTTACATTGGCAGGGCATTGGCATTGCCTTCCTTCTTTGTTTTTGACATGTATTTTGGGGTATAATTGGTGTTTTAAGTATTGTTGGGTGTAGTTATACATGAGGATTTCAAGGGGTGATTTTGGGTGTTCTCTGAGTTAATGATTGTTGGCTCAGGAGGCTGTTTCCAGGCCTACTTTAGTAATGGACATGAGGAAAGAAATTGTGTGGTAGAACTAGAAATGTTTTACCTGATAATTTTCTTCCTGTCATTGGTTTGTGTCCTTATTTAGCACATGCTAGTGGTCTGGTAAGTTTAATAACAAATTGAATCCTTTCTGAAAAGATGTGTTAACCTGAAGACTACTTATAGAATATCAAGTTATTTTCCTAATAACCTAATGACCTGAAGAAAAATGCATTGCATTTAAAAGCTAAAGTCTATCTCAGCCATACATTTTGTCCAATAAAATATATCATCCACAAACATCCTTGCTTCTCACATATATTTCTCTAACCCTAATATGTGGTTCTGGAGTATTTCTGTTGCTTTGGAAGTACTACACTGGTGGCCAGAGTTGAAGTACGGGGCTTTGTCCTGGGGCCTCCAACAACAGAACTGGGATGTCTTCAAATTCCTCAGACAGAAAAGATTGAGGGGAGAAGCTGTCAACAGAAAATTGACAGGCAAGAGATTCCTTATTCCTTCTGCTATTATGCAAGTACATTTTGTATGCCAATATCTAGTAAAGTTAGCAAGCAAAGTTTTGAGGGCTAATATATTTATTGGACCAGTGATGAATGGGCAAGTAAGGCAACAAGACTTGAGCACTGCCTAGGGTGAGTGGGGTTGGTGGGGAAGGGTGCTGGAATGAAACAGGGGGACACCTCCTCCCATTCCACCCCATCCAACCCATGGAGGCATACCCTGCACCTTCCTTACAGTGGCTCCAGCCTCTGGCTCCAGCAGGAGGGAGAGCAGAGAAGTGGTGGTGCTGTATGGTTGTAGGAGTACAGGATGTCACTTCTATTTTTTGCTGCTGAAAATTGGTGGGTTTTTTGGTTACTTGACATGCATGTTAGTAGTAGAAAAAGGTGATAGCTCCCCCAGTAGCAGCAAGCTTCTGGCCACCATGGCCTAGGGTACAATACTAGCCAGCTATGCCTCTGGTTGGGAGAGATATTAGAAAAACTTTTGGGCACAAAGTGTCCTTCATCATTTTGTGCCCCAAATCTTTTCTAACAACTCCTCCAACTACATCGTGGGTCCAATAAACTTTATCCAAAACACCTTGCTTCTCGCACATTCCTTAGACCATCACAGCTAGAACACTTCATTAGTAAAGGTAATACTCTTATTAAAGGTAATATACTCTTATGAATATTAAGATACAATCTGCTGTTCAGTAAAGTATTCCTATATACCTTTTGTTTCAATAACCTAGAATGTGATTTTATCATTTATTAACTGATCAATTTTAGAGATACTTCTGTGGGAAGCAAGCAAGAGACCGATGTCAACAAAGTTTTCTGGACTGTTCAAGGTTTGTGCCCCTACCATATTTCCATTTAATTTTAGTGTTAATGTTACTATCTTTGTAAGTAATCTAAAGGTTGTAGTGAGGTTTTAAAAATCATGTTTTTAGGAAATAAAAAGATAAAAGCAGGATGTGCAATTCCATAGAGCAAACAAACGTCAACATATGTATATTGCATGGTGCTTTAAATATGTTTTCTCTGTTAATTTTCAGTGTTTAACAAAAGATGACACATGAGGAGCATAGATTAATTATAAATGTAATTATAAAATGTTGCTGTCAGTAATGACACATGAAAAAAATGTTTTATCCTGTCTCCTCAAGTAATTACATGGAATTTTACTGTGACACCCAAAAGTTTCTCTAAGTCTATCCCAACCATGCAGTTGGTCTAATAAAAGATATCATCTACAAAAATTCTTTGCTCTATGAATTTTAATATATTTTCCCATGCTGTCCTGCATATAGATTATTTTCTTGGTACTGTATTTTATAATGTATTTGTCATGACCCAAAGGCATGATTTTGTGTGTGCTTCGGCACCAGAATTATCCCTGCCAAGTTGCAGCTTCATTGCACGGGAGAGTTTCCTGTTGCAGAGGAAAACCCCGGTGCAGGGACGAGTTTCCCGCCTTTCTGCAGCTTCTTTTGCAGAGTGCATTGCTCAAGTTGCGAGAGAAATGCACGGTGCAAAAGAGTTCCCGCCACCGGTATGCAAATTCGTTCCCCGCTATTGGCTAGTTTTAAATTATTCCCACGTGGCGGCTAACGATTGGCCTGTTAGCCGTATAAGAGGCTTGAGCGGTTTCCTCCCAAGCCGAAGAGGACTCCACATCCATCTCGTGGGGACTCTGGATACA